TGTGTAACCCTCGTTCCCTGAAGGAGGGAACGGAGATGTCACGTTGGTGACCGATGAATTGGGAATCTCGCCAGAGAGACCAATCCACTTCGAGTGTAACTAAACGAGCCAATGGACATTGGCATGCAGAATTCGTGTTTGGCTGCCACACCCCGCAGCGCAGGTATAAGAGGCAGCAGGTGCACCGCATTCATTCGGTTTTCCCTGATGAGCCAAGCCTGTGACCCGGCAGCTCAGTAGTGGTACAGCAACTGTGGCGATGGGACGTGACGTCTCCGTTCCCTCCTTCAGGGAACGAGGGTTACACAAGTAACCAAGACGTTCACTTTCAGTCAGTCACTCTCAACGTCACGTGGGTGACCGACGAATTGGGAATCCCTACCAACGCGCCACAGGTGCTGCCCCCTCCAGTGCCCTTTGTAGGCCTCCCGAACCTTCCTATAAGGCAGACGATAGGACCAGGCTCTACACAGAGAAGGTTGACTACTGCTTTTCCTTGAGCAACCCAAACAGTAGGACTTGGATAACACTGGGAAAGTGTGCCCTTCCTACTTGGAAGAGGCATTTTGCGGAGTCACCTCCTCCCAGAGGGGGTTGAGTGACATTTACTCATGTGGCATGTGGTAACCCAAAAGGGTCCTATTGCACATGGAAGTCTCTGAGATGGCTCAGGCTGCAGGCTTCTAGAGAAGGCAGAGCGTAGCCTGCCAGGGGAAACATAGCCCTAGTAACTGTACTGTGGAAATACACATATGGGATCCCAACAGGGCCATTCATATGGGCACTAGCCTCACACCAGGTTTCAGGAATTCATTGGATGAAAGGCCTGGCGCTGGATGCTCCGCCACGTCCGGCCGCCGGAGTGCTGGAGGACTCGACAGGGTTTGCCTGGTTAGGGAACTCTCTGGAGAACTAGGCGTTATGGACACCGCAAGCCTACTCTGAACCGGGCCTCTCATTGCCACTACCCGTTTGAGGTGAGAGCACAGGAGGAAACCTTTTCGACACGTAGGATATAGAACCTAGCGAACGTGTTAGGAGTCGCCCAGCCCGCAGCTCTACAAATATCTGCTAGCAAGGCACCACAAGCCAGCGCCCAGGACGATGCGACGATGCGACTCCTTAGTGGAGTGAGCATGCAGCCTGAGTGGGCAGGGCACACCTTGTGCCTCATAGGCCAAGGTGATGGCATCCACTATCCAGTGGGCCATCCTCTGCTTGGAGACAGTGGGCACGTAGCCAGGCCAGGGTCTCAGTGTTGCACTGGAGTCAGCCGGCCCAAACTCAAGGCACGATTCGTTGACCGAAAATGCCTGCAGGTCCCCCACCCTCTTGATCGAGGCCAATGCGGTCAGGAGTAGGGTTTTCATGGAGAGAAACTTCAACTCGACTGACTCCAAAGACTCAAAGGGAGCAGTTTGTAGGGCTCTTAGCACAATGCTAAATCCCAAGAGGGTAAAGAGGGGGGCCTAGGAGGATTTAACCTTCTGGCCCCCCTAAGGAACCTGACGACCAGGTCGTGCTTCCCCACCGACCTCCCCTCTATGGGGTCGTGGTGTGCGGAGATAGCAGCCATGTAAGCCTTAAAGGTGGAGGGGGACAGCCTACGCTCCAGCCCTTGCTGCAAGAAGGAAAGCATGGCTCTGATCGAACATTTCCAGGGGTCCTCTCGGTGAGAGGAACACCATTCAACGAGCAGGTTCCACCTTAAAGCATAGGCCCATCTCGTGGACGGTGCTCGTGCTGAAGCAATAGTGAGTACTACCTCCTGGGGTAGGTCACCTAGAACCTCCGCGTCCCGTCCAGGGACCACACATGGAGTTTCCACAGGTCCGGATGTGGGTGCCAGAGGGTGCCCCTTCTCTGAGAAAGCAGATCCTTCTTCAGAGGATGCCAGCTGTGTGCCAGTCCATCCGCACTGAGCATTGCCTCGGTTAGGGAGTAGAACCACTGGCAGTGGGTGGTCTCTGGAGATGCAAACAGGTCTACCTGAGCAACTCCAAACCGTCTCCAGATCAGCTGAACCGCCTGGGGGTGGAGTCTCCACTGCCCTGGAAGTGCTGCTCGAGACAACTCGTCGACTGCCCGATTGAACACTCCTGGGATGTGGATGGCACGAATGGACCTCAGATGCTTCTGACTCCAGAGGAGGAGGTGGCGGGCGAGTTGCGACATGCGACGGGAGCGTAAACCGCCTTGCCGGTTGATATACACAACAGTCGCAGTGTTGTCCGTGCAGAACAGAACGCCACTGCCCAGAAGGCGCCCTCTGAGGCGGCTCAGGGCAAGG